TGACCAGTCTGTGACCCGCTGAAGTGATGATTGGCACTTCTGAGCCTGGCTTCCCCCAAAGTTCACCCGGGTCTCAGACCTCTCTTCCCCATTACAAGCTGTAGTAAAGAGAAATGATGCTAGGACAACCTGGAGCCTCAGCCTGCCTGGGGAAGGATTAAGAGGCAAGGTACTTGTAACATTTATGCTACACTAGCTAGGGTTACCCTGGCTAATGCACCTTCTTGAAAGCCTGATTTTTGTCATCGTGTAGCTTTTCTCCCTCTCAATTGCAACAGTTCCATTGGGTGCTGAAGCACTAAGTTCCAACCTCACAACCTTGTTGGGAGCCATATACATTATAGCCATACTAAAGTCATTTTGAATATAGATCTAGGTCAGTGGAAAGTACCAGCTAGCAAAGTACAAGAGAAACCAAGTTTTAAGACACTCTGTGGTTTACAAGTCATCTAGCAACCCACCTAGCTCTGAGCACCCTTGGTGCTCATGACAGGATGTTGACTTGTGCCCTACCTGCCAGCTTTGGGAAATAGCTACCCAGGAAGAGTTGTGAAACCATGCCCGCCTCTTGCAAGCATAAAGGGCTTTTAGAGATAGCTATCCAGAAAGAGCTGTGAAACCATATCCCAGACCCTATTTCCTCTTTCCGCTCACCCATAGATTCTGTTTTACAGAGTATAAAGCCTTGTGTATGAAAATAAAATTTGGTCAGCTTGATCAGACATACTGTCTTGCTGTCCATTCCTTGTCTCTTGTCCCCCATTCTCTCCTAGGTTGGCTGCGACCCCCATTGACTGTCCTGCTCAATGGGACACAACCTCATTCCTGGTTCATCTGGCAGTACTTTTCCTGACCATTATCCTTGCAGATCAGGATCCCTCTGGTTCCTGATGACATTCATTTGGGGTTGGCTGCAGTTTGATCTTGAAATTTTCGGGAAGGCTGTGGGAGAGGGAACCCCTGTGCATGGGAGAATGGATCTCTAGTGTCTTTAGACACAAGTGACAAACTGGATAAGAGATTGGGGGTGGTGTTTCTATGCATCCCTCCTCCAACTATGTAGACCCTGCCCCAGGGTGGGCTGCTGTGGAGAAGCAAGGACCCGGGGATGCGGAGAGCGCAGGCAGCAGGAGGCAGACACATTCAGTCTGAGTAACTGGGGAGAGTTTCAAAACAGAGTTAGCTGCAAAGGTGGGCGCAGGTGTAGCTAGGACCACAGCGTCACCTTTGTTGACCATACCTACTAACTGCTATTACCTAAGTGCGCGCCTCCTTGTCTCCTTCCCTCCCTCCCCCAGCACCTCTCTCTCCTGCAGGTATTTATTAGCTGTGGAGCAAGCTCTGCTGTTGTGTTGAACAAACCGAGAGTGCCAGGAAGTTCATGTCCTGGAAGCAGCCCTGAGACAGCAGCCGAGAGTGGTGGCTGGTGGCCCCTAAGCTTCCTGGCTCTGCGTTGTACCACCTCCCAGACATTCCACATCCCCTCTGAGTGCTTCCTGGGGACCTAGTGCCAGGTGCTCAGGGGGGAACCCCCAGGAGGCCTCTCCTGCTCCCTGTCTCATTGCTGCAGGTCCCCTTCCTGGTGGGCTCAAATCTCCTCTCTTGGCTTTGCTTCTAGGGAAACCTTAGCCCAGAGGGTCCAGATTGGGGATGGCAGGGAGGGGTGGCACAGGGTTCTGGGGTTCAGAGACCTTTTCCAGAAGGTGTAGGGGCTCATGTGGAGAGGAGGGCCTGTCAAGAGCCCTCACTTTGGTAGGGACACAGTCGGTGCCACAGCTAGGCAAGGAAGGATTGTGTTGCCCTCCTCTCCCTTCTGATCTCCTGGCAGTGCCCCCTACCCACCAAACCCAAGGAGAAACCGAGGGCAAGAGAGTGGGCCAGTGCCAGACACTGCCTGTGGCTGCGGGCAGAGCCATGAGAGGGAGGAAGGTGCCCCTGGTCCAGGGGACAAACAGAAGGCTGACAGCATGCCATTCAGCTGCTTTGCTGTGTATGTGGCTTCTAGAAGGCAGCATTCTGACAGGCTAGCAGCTGGGAAAGGCTTTTCCAGGTGTCAGGGTAGAGTAAATAAAGATGTAGAAGATGGGCAGGTAGGGTAGACAGGCAGCCAGCATTCAATGACCTACAAAGATGGTGGTTTTAATAGCACTCTTTTTGCTATCTATCAAGATTTGGGCTGGGCTCATCTGCACAGTTCTGTTCCTCTTGGCTCCGAGTCAGGTTGCCAGCCAGTTGTGGGTTTGCTGGGCCCAATGTGGTTGTGCTGGCATGTTTGGTGTCCTGGTGGGGCTGGCTCAGCTGCTGTCAAATGTAGTGCCTGCATGCAAGCTCTCATGACGCTCTCCACCAGCTCATTGTTCCTGGTGAGAATGTTCACAAAGCCAGAGGAAGCGCTGAGGCTTCTGGTAACCAGGCTGTGGCTCAGAGACCCAGGAATGCTACCCCCCATTGTGTACTATCAGCCAAACAAGGGCAAGAGCAGGAAAATTAGAACCCACCCCACCCATGGAGAACAGCAAGAAGCTGCACCTGTTCACAGACCAGCGATGACTTAATGACCTGTATTTCCAGAATGTACCTGCTGGCAGGTTCAAAACCTGACACTACAGAGGGAATGAATGCTACAGTAGGTCCTGAGATATGGTCACTTGCAGCTTCAAAGGTAGATGTCACTGCTGCTACTTTCAGTCCCTGGTGCACAGGTGGGCTGGCAGGGTCCTCTGGTAATGGGGGCAGCCATGGTCCCTAGCAGGAGGGCTGGTGAGACTGAGGGGGAGGCTGCCCAGAGCGCCAGAGTCATGGATGGCAGCCAGCACTGTTACCCTGAGCAATATGACAGCCACCAGAGGCCTTCATGGTGGCACCCTTCTGGGGTCCCCGCCATCTTGCCCACTGGCTTTTTCCTGGTCTTCCCACCCCACCTTACAGCTGGGAGCCCAGGCTCCTCAAACTGCCGCAAGGTACCCCCTCAAGGCACAGGTTCAGAAAGGCTCAGTAGCTCTGGGAGCCAGCCCAGATGGGTTCCTATAACCAGCTCCCCATGAGCTGATACCAATACAATGGTTCCTGGACCGTGCCCTCAGCAGCTGAACCTATATTTTTTTATAAATGGAAGTTTGACTCTGTTTGCCTCCAATTAAAACCCTCCACTGACTCCCCAAAACTTCCAAAATTGAAAGTTAAACCTCACTATGCCCCTCTCCTCTTTCTTGTTTCGATAGACTTATTCATGCATTTGTAACAGAATGCGAGAAAATATTTCCCACCCCAGTTCTGGAACATTTCCAGCCAGCTGGATGTACTTGTTGGCCTCTCTAACCACCCCCCCCCCCCATTCTTCTCATATTCATGCCTTTTAACCCCCCTATTCTGATTTCCTCCCTTCAGGGCATATATCTATAGCACTCTATAAGTTGAACCAGGGCACATGTACTTTTCTGCAACTTCTTATTTACTCCGCACTGTTTGAGATGGACCTACTGTGGCCTGTAGCTCAAGTCCCTTCCATTTTGCTGCTGAGGAATATTCCTCAGGAACATGCAAAGATCTCACTGTTGCGAACCGAAATGGCTGGATGAGAAAATGTGGTCTTGCACGAGAAAGAATTCAGACATGACACAAAGGAGTGGTCAGCAAAGTAGCAGGTATAACGGGGTAGGCTCATCCTTCAGAGCAGATTCCAGACACAATCGGAGCCATTCAGACTGGAGTAAGCCAGGATAGGTGGTTTAATGGGGGCAGAACCCACCTGTCACATCAGGTGGACACCATGGCAAAGAAGTGGGAGAGCTGGGCTGGGCTGGGCTGGGCGTTTCTAGAAAGCCTGGAGCTGATAGGGGAATGGGGTCAGCTTCCCTCACTGTTTCTCCTACCCTCCTCTCTTCCAGACAAAGGGTTTGCTAATGTGAAATTCCTCCTGAGGTTTCTTAAAGACCAGTGTTATCATTGCCAGAGGGTATTCTCCTCTTAGATTTGTCTACTGGAAAGGGCAGATTTACAGAGAGAAGGAGAGACAGAAAGATATTCCATCATCTGGTTCATTTCTCAAATGGCCACAACAGCTGAAGCTGAGCTGATCCAAAGGCAAGAACCAAGGAGCCGCCTCAGGATTTCCCATGGGTGCCAGGTCCCAAGATTCTGGGCCATCCTCCACTACATTCACAGGCCATTAGCAGGGAGCTGGATGGGAAGCAGAGCACACAGGACATGAACCTGGTACCCATATGGGATGCTGGTGCTTGTAGGTAGAGGATTAGCTAACTGAGCCTTGGCACAAGCAGGAGGATTCTCCTAAGCTGTCTTCCTTGGCGGGGAGGCTGGGATCACCTTTGAAGTTATTGAGGGTAGGCAGGATTTGGCTGGCTGGGGTCCTGAGCTGTTTCCCAGGCCGCTTCATTCTTTCCCACAGGTGCTTTGCTTTCCTTAGGCGCCCCCTCCCCCCTCTCACACCGAAACAAATTTCTAACTCCTCCCAGATGCTGCTTGCCAACTCGCCTGCAGATGGCCCGTGGAGAGCGAGCCTTGCTAGTGCGATTGTCGTTAGCAGCAGCTGCGGTACACACGTGTTTCTCCGCACCGGGCAGGTGTCTCCAGGCTGGGAGGGGGTTTGCCGTGTGCTCCTGCGTCCCAAGCCACTCGGGGCTTCCCTCAATTCCCATTCATTCAGAAAGTCCCCTCCACCAGGAGCTCGCTCCGGAAACTCCCCGATTCCGCCGGTATGCCGCTGACTCTGCCACCGGTGCCCGGGGCTCCCGGCTGGGGCCTGGCACACCGTAGGCACCCAGAAGGCAGCAGCAGCAGGAAGGAGGCCGAGCTCGGAGCTGCGGTGGGCGCCCGGAGGCTACAGGTGTCTCGACTCAACGACCCGTGCGGATGGAGCTTTCTGAGGGGCCCCAGCTCGGGGTCTGCGATTCCAGGAAATGCGCTGCCCCGGCCGCGCCGGCGGGGCGGGGGCTCGGCCCGGGGGCGGGGCTGAAGGCGGGCCGGGCCCGGTTAAGAGGAGCGTGGCGAGCCGCGGCCAGCCAGGGCCCCGGAGCAAGCGGACCGGTCAGCGACCCTGCCAGAGCCAGAGCGGACAGAGCAGCGCCCGGGCGCACGCTTGGCACCATGACCCAGACGCCCGCCTTCGACAAGCCCAAAGTGAGCGCGGCAGGGGGAGTCTTGGGGTCGGGGCTTCCGCAGTCGCGGGCTGGGCTCGGCCTGAGCCCTGGGCGGCCTCCGCGCTGCTGAGCGAGGGACAATGAGGTGAGGAGGGTCTTGAAGCCGCAGGCCACTTTTGTTGCCTGCCTCCACCGACTCCTGCTTCTGTCGCTGGCGCGGTTCTTCTGGGGCCATCTGTCACCCGGGCATCCTGGCAGCTGGGGAACCCGCGCAGGGGGTTTCACTTGTCTGCACCTCGGCTTCCTTTGGGGCCCCTGGTGGCTCAGCGTGTGGGTGCCCGCTGTTGTGGTGACGTGCTGCAGGAGTCGAAGCCGCGTTAGCCTCCACGTTCACCTGGTGTGAGCGCCGAGGAATCCAGGGTTGCCAGATGCGCTCGCGGGAAGATCCGAGGGAAGTGGAGTGCTCTTCTCATCCGCTCTGCAGAAAGGCTGCTTGGCCTTGGGCTTTACAGGGGTTCAATTGGGATCAAGGGCGAACCCTCTGGACTCTGCTCCGGCCAGTTGCGGTCTCCTGGGCTGGGTGGGATTCGGGAGGGTCTGGGCTCAGCTGTCCGGGCCAGCGACTCCCTCCTGGGAGGGGAGGGGACCCTTTCCCCCTTGACTCCTCCAGGCAGAGTGACTATGAGGTTGTAGTGCAAACAAGTCAGCTGTGGTGGGCCTCAGCTTACCCTCCTGGGAAACAGGTGTAAATGATGATGAGTGTGAGCGCTGCCTGCCTGCTGGCTGAGGCTGGGAGGGCCTGGGCCACTGAGGCCAGCCCTCCTGCCCCCACCCACACTTGTTTTGTCTGGAGTGCTCGTTAGCACCCCTTTCCTTTGGAGCTGCTGGCTTAGATGTGAAATGGAGATAAATCGATTTTTAAAATAAATTTTAAAAATAAATATATTTTTATTTGAAAGGACAGAGTTACAGAAAGAAAAGGAAAGAGATCTTTCATCCTCTGGTCTACTCCCCAAATGGCCACAACAGCCAGAGCTGGGCTGGCCTGAAGCTGGGAGCCAGGAGCTTCTTTGGGGTCTCCCATGCAGGTGCAGGGGCCTAAGCATTTGAGCCATCTTCTGCTGCTTTCTTAGGCACCCAAGCAAGATCAGAAGTGGAGTAACTGGGACCAGAACCAGTGCCCTTATGGGCACCATAGGCAGAGGATTACTATGCCATACCACAGTTCTGGCCTAGGCTTCACTTCTATAGCCTCTGTCCTTGCAGTTTCAGGCCCCAGTGCTGTTGTCCACCACATTGTTTTGGTTTCACTCGGTTCTCTTGTGGGACTCAGGCTTGCTAGTCAGCTTGTGCCTGGGACCTCAGCTTCCATACCTGGGGAATGGGTATCACCTGTGCATGATGCTTTGGTGTCAAGGGGGAATGTCAGCTGTCATGGGGTGCGGGGTACTGTGCCATCTCCTTGTGAGAAGGAAGCTCACTAACTGGCAGGTGAAGGAAAATGGACTGCAGAGCCAGCTTCCTACCTTCCTGTGGGTGGGGCTGGCAACAGCCATTGGGATCCTTGGGGATGCTTCAGTGGTGGCTGCTCTGTGCCAGGCACCAACCTAAACTGTCCACCCCAGAGGAAGAAACCAACACAGAGAGGTTGCCTAGGCTCAAGATGGCACAGTAGGAGGTATCCAGCTTGGTGTTGGAGCCCCAGGGAAGCTGACCTACACACCCCTGTCCCTGACCATGTTCTCTGGGTGGCTGCTGCAGCTGCTTAGGGGCAAAGGTGGCACTGCCCAGGCCTCTCTGAGACAAGGAGCCTTTGGTCACTTCTGAGCTTCCCCAGCCCACTACCCACTGCAACACAAGAGCCTGCCCACCTCCAGCAGGCAGAGGAAGGCGATGTTTTTCAAACTTGGATATCACTCAGATCAGCTCACCCCTAATGCTCAGACTGACTGGGGAGGCCCTGGGGGCAGGGAGGTAGGAGGTGCCACTCAAGTTCTGGGGGAGGCTGGTGCTGTGCTGTGCACGCATGCATGCATGCACGCACATGCTGAGCAGCAAGGCCCTGGGCCAGCACCTCCCAACATTGTCTGGGTCATTCCAGCAAATGCAGTTAGAGTACCTGCTGGGCACTGGAGGTGGCAGGAAGAGGGGCAGTGGGTAGCCCTCCTCTATGCATGTATGCATCCTGGGAAATCCAGTGGTACTTGTGTCTCTGTGTCCTGGAGGGGAGTGCTCCTGTGTCCCTGTCCTAGGAATAACCAGGCCTGTCCAGGTGGCCCTGGGTACCAGGTTTTCTTGTGACTTAACGCACAGAGCCCTTTGTGTGACTGGACAAGGTGGATAGAAAAATCAAGGTCAGGACAGGTGAGGGGACAGACAACTGGCACCGAATCCGAGCCAAGAAGCTGGGGCCTGGCAAGGGAGTAGCCCAGGGTGGAGGGCAGAATGTCTTTTTGTGGTTTATTTTGAAAGGCAGAGAGAAAAATTCTCTGAGAAGCTCTTCCATCTGCCAGTTCATTCCCCAAATGGCTGCAATGGTCAAGAGCCCAGAGCTCCATCCAGGACTCCCACATGGGTTCCGGGGGCCTAAGCCCTTGTAGCATTATTTGTCCCAGTATACTGGCAAGGATCTGGACCAGCAGTGGGCTTGAACCCTCCCTCGCTGTGGAATGCTGGCATCCCAGATGATAGCTTCCCTGTTGGGCCACATTGCTGATGCCTGTATGGTGTAGTTTCTGAACTAGTCCTTCCTCTGCACAGGGGAACTGGGCTCTGTCAATCTCCGGAGTGTTGTTTTCTGCCTGTGATGTCTGCTCTTGTCTTCTCTGCCTCTGCTTTGCATGGACTGAATCATCTATGGTTCCCAGCAGCCCACTGACAACAGGCCCGTTGTTCTGCTCATTTACATTTGAGGAAGTGGAGAGAAGGAACTTGACAAGGTCTCACAGCCAGAAAGCAGCATCAGACCTGAACCTAGACACCTGAGGCTGAAGCAGATGCTTCACGCATCTATTTTTCCACATAACAAGAGTGGGAGCTGTGGTCACATGGGCCCAGGGTCTCAGCCTGAATGAGGTTGAGTTCCCATCTTGCCACTTGTTGGTACCACCCGACACCTCCCTAAGAAGATGGGCTGTACTGGCCCAGAGGCACCATTGTGGGTTCTTGGTGCCTGTCAGTTACCAGAGCCACCTGTGAGGGCAGAGACGCCTCAGTTTTGACTCTCAAGGCAGTTGGAGGGGGTGGGGCTGGGGAGTTCAAGTTTCATGGGAGCTCTTTGTTTGCTGGAGAGGAAGCCAACACCATAGAGGGGAAGTCATCTGTGGTCCCACAGGGAGTTGTACCCCATTCAAAGGACGGGATGGGGTCCTGCCCCTGGGAGGGACCCATGCACCTGCCGGGATGTCTTGAGGAGTCCTTGAGCTGAGGGAGGTAGGACTGCAGGTCAGATCTGGACAGGGAGGATGAGAAGCCCAGGATGGAGACTGAGGCCGCAGGATGGTGTGGGGGTGGAGAGCCAACCTTCACGGTCTTAGGAAGCAGGGAGACAGGAGTTTGACCTTGGGCACTAGCTGGAGCCTAGCCATCTGGATCTCAGTCCTGATTTCCTACCAGTGAGAGGAGCTGGAATGGGTTACTTCACTGTCCTGTGCCTCAGTTTCCCCCTCTGGGAATTCTGGCTGCAGCTACCTTGCAAATCCCCAAGCCTGGCTTCGAGTGGCTGGGCCCATAGAGGTTTCTAAGTCACCCTGGGAAATTATCCAAGGATTGACTCCGCCCCTGGCTACGTATTTAGAGCTCATCAACATTCTGGGTAGGTAGGTGTGGGAGGGGTAGCTGCTTAATCTGAGCATCAGCCTATTCAGCAGAAAGCTTGGAGACACTTGGGAACTTCCACCTGGAACCTTGGACTTACTGAACACTGAGGGCTTCCTGGAGGAGGAGGGATGTCTGTCTCCTGGCCTCACCCTGGAAGTCCACTGTGAGATCATGGGGTATGGAAGTGGGAACCCATGTGCCACTGAGTGTACTGCCAAGAGCATGGCTAGGAAGGGCGAAGAATGTGGTTGGCAGTGGGCACCCTACCACTAGGGGGCTGGGATTGTCAGATAGTGCTGGATCCTCTGGCTCTTCTTCTCTTGAGAAAGGGGACAGAGTGCATTTTCCCCAGTGCCACCACAGTACCCAGGTGGTGGGGGCTCCGTTGCTGCTGGCATCAAAGGCTGCTTCCTGTTCCCCAGCAGCACTGAGAGGATTTTCTGCCCTTTTTCAGGCCGGTGGGGAGCCGAACACACCAAGAGCCGGGACTGCTGCAGAGGCAGGGGCGTGGGATGCTCCTCTGGCAAGGCCAGGCACAGGTGTGGCAGTCAAGGACCATGGGAGGCACTGTGGGCTCAACTCAAGCTTTGAGACAACAGGCCTGGCTTTACCCTGATTCTGCCGTTGGTCTCTGCACCTGGGCGAGTCACTGAACTTGCACGGGCTTAGTTGCAAATGCAGTGTGGGCTGGAGGTCAGAATTAAGTGAGATAAGCGGTGTGATAGTTATAAGTCACCACCTTTATCCCTAGTACCCTTGCTGTGATGTATTACTCATACTCTAGGCTAGGCCCATGGAGGCAGTGCAGTTAGAAGGTCAAGCATCAGCTGTGGGTTTAAATTCTGACCCTGGTGATAACTGTGTCCCAGAGGGACTTTTCCAAGCTTCAGCTCCCTTCCAGGTTGGTAGTGAGATCCCTACCCCACTGACGGGGAGTGAGAAATCCCATCATGCATGTGGATGGTCTGACCCAGGGTAGCCGCTGAATGGGGCCAGAAGAGCAGGGTGCCCACCACTTCCGAGCTGGCACACGTGATTATCAGAGCTGGGGCTGGGCTGGCAGCTCCTCCACAGGCTACTGTAGCTCCCTGCTAATTTCTGGAATACTCACCTTGACTCCTCCCCCAAAACGTGTTTGGGCAGCTTCCCAGCTGCCCAGGGGAAGAGTTGGGGCCTGGTAGCCAGGCTGGTTCTTCCCAGAAGGGCTGTGGCCCCGAATGG